ATTGATTAGAGAAAATTGATAATTTTTAGTGACGAAATATATTTTTTAGTGATAAATTATTTGGTCATCATTGAACGTGTAAGGTATATGTGACCAATATTAGAATTTTTTCATAATTGTAATGCATTATATTGATGATTTTTTATCGACAAAAATTTATTTTATCTTTATTAACATTTTTCGGTGATAAAATATATTTTTTATGATGAATTTTTTTGTTTATCATTAAATATGTGTACATCTATGATTAATTTTTTAGATCTATTACAATTGTGATAAGTTATAGTGATGATTTTAAAATTTATCATAAATAAATTTTTATCACTAAAAATCATTTTTATTGTAGTGTGTGGTACCACGTAAGAACAAAAGAAAAAAAAAAAAAAGGAAAAAATCTTGCGTTTAACATGAATCCGAGGAATTGAAATTATTCTTAAGTACAGGAATAATTATAAGTTAAAGTTAATCAGTGGACTTACTTCTCAACCATCTCTGATCTCTGTGCAACTAACTAGAAAAGGGGTAGAGAGGGAAATGGAGAAAAACTAAGAGGGAAGAGAGTGGACGGAAGAAGAAGCGATCTATCTGGCTACTCACGGAGATGGATTCTGGTGTGCTGTTGGCGCTACGCTAATCTGCACCGATTCGAATTGAAAGAAGGATTGGCAAAGAAAAAACAAGAACAGGGGTAGAGAATTGTGAAGATAGATAAGGGTAAAAATATAAAATTCAATCATTTCCCACCTATGATATTTACTTCTTTATTTTATTTGCAAGGGCCCTTTCTCTTGCCCTTTCTCTTGCATCCCACGAGGGAGCTGGATTCCAGTGGCTAAATATAAAACTACAATCATCCCCTTCTTTTACTTTATTATTATTATTTTTTAATAAAGACAATTATAGAGGGAAAAAGGAAGGAGTGGACTCACCGAGAACGAGAAGCACTTATAGCTTATAAGTTAAGTATAAATATTTAAACAATTAATGAGACTCTATGTATATACTTAAGTACTAAGTCTTGGGACAGATTATTCCGATTCCATTCTTTTGCTTTATCCAGCTTGCGTCACAATGGGATGGGGTAAAATTTTTATTCCAGCCAATGTAAATCTGACACTCTAAACGAGCTGTTTGTTGATATTGATTGATAAATTACTCTTCCCATTTAGGTCTTAGCATTTCGGGGGGATTGCTTAAATTGAATGAAAATTTTAATTATTTAAAATAATATTATATAAAAATTTTATATTT